AAATTTGCCTGACATTCTGCTATCAGCTGCGATATTTATAACTGAAGCTTCTCTTTTTTACCATTTTTAAATAGTTCCTGTCGGTTTTAAAAAAGGCTGAGAAAAAGGAATTCAAGGTTATAATCCCGAAAGCCACCTTTAAAGGTATTTGGTATTTGACAACTCTTTTAATGAGAACAGAAGCAGATGCGCGAAGCGCAGCGGAGGACAATACTTAAGGTCAGGGCGGATAAAGGCTGGGCAATGAAACGAGTGCGTCCGAGCAAAAAGGTGTGATGCAGTGGACTGGGATCAAATTATGGACTACAGTTTAAAAAAGACAGCAAACGACGGCTAGTTGCGAATATCAAGGGCATCTCAGGAAAATGAGTCATGAATTTAAAGGGTTTCGTTAATAGATAGATAGATAGATAGCCTTTATTTTAAAACGAAAAGTATTATTCATAAAAACAACTTCGGCGAGTTCATCCTTGTGAAAAATACATCAACGACTGCCAAAGTTCGCAAAATAGATTTATCATAAGATGACAGCCATCTTCGCCTACCAACAAGTTTCTCGGATTTCGCCAGCAAAACGTGAACATCGTATTACTCCTGGACTTCTTACGAACATTTGTGTAAGTTAACCCATTATGTGGGCTTGAAAACTCTTTGGTCCTTGTTCCCACTGATTGTCAACGAATAACTGAATAAACAAATTGCACTGTCACTCCTCTCTCCAACCACACTCAAACAAAACTAGCAGAATATGGCGTGTTTGTAACCAATCAATAAAAGCGTTTGCTTTTCTGTGCCGCACGTTTAGAGAATTTTGCAGTTAATCACAACTCAAACTTTTTTTACAAACTTTGTTTTTTGGATAGTATTAAGCTGTTCGTTTGTCGAGTTTAATGAATGTCACGGGAAGTTTAGATAATGAGTGGCCCCTCGTTTGGACTGTTTATCTGCTATCAAGATTCTTCCGTGTTATTCGAAGAGAGAGCTGGTTTGTTTATTTGGTTTCTGGGGTATTTTGGAAAGCTTCGCCACTGAATTAAACGAAAGTGAAAATTAAACATGCAGGCATTTAACAGCAGAATACAGGAAAAGTCTCACTTACTCTCTTTACTGCTCCCCCCCTCTCGTTCTAGTTTTTCGGTAAAGTCAGGCGTAAGTTTAATCATTTCATGTGATGCGAGACGATGGCGATGGCTTCGTGTGCAGACGCTTCAATTAATTTTATGGTTGCGAAAGGAAAGAGAAAGTTTTTATAGAATACCCAGTTCTAGTGATTGCTAGTAAAAATTAACGGGATGATTTGCGAAAGTCTTGCTTCGAGAGAAAACAAGTTTTCAGAAACATTTCATTCACTCTACTTGATGTCTTGAATAAAGTGCTGTTGTTGTATATGTTTCATAGAAGTTTTATTCATGTTTTAATTGTCAGTCATAATTTTGTAAGGTGTTTTGCAGTGGCTTTTTTTCCTTTTGCGGACTGTGGTTAATTTGTCAGAATGACGCGTGAGTGAAATGTCTTAAAATGGTTGAAACATGGCCTGTGATTTGCGTCTGTGTTTACACATTAACGCACATTTTTCATTCTCGCCGAAAACAAGGTACATAAAAGACTTGTCGATTATTCTACCGAGCGACTCCTAACTTTGCCAAAATGATTTCGCCTTTTTGGAATAAGTTTATATATATTGTTGACACGTTTATAATTTGAAGTTTGAGTATAGCGCACATTTAGCCCTATAAATACACAACACGCAAAGCGCAGTTTGTGTAAACTGCAAAATTATGGCTATTCCTAGGGGGTAATGTTAAATACGTTTACTTATCATCCTTGCTAGATCTTTTCACCAGAAGACACCAAAAGAATAACTTAGTAAACGTCACTGAGTAAAAGATATTGTGGTACATAATTTAAAGGGTAGTTTTACACGTAATGGTTTGTGGCTCCGATTTTGCAAAGCCAAGGAAGCTTATTCTAAACAAAAAAATCGGTCTAATTAACTATTCGGGTAGAATCCCTTTTAGACGGAAAGACTGACTTATAAACAAAAACTGTGAACTGGACGCAGCCAAAGAGTTTCGTATGACAACCAGCCTTTTTAATTAAAACATTGAACCTCATGGGCTATTAGCTTTTCAAAGGGGTGTGGTGGAGGGGTTTCAGTGATGCAGACGTATGGGTAAGAATTTTTTTCCAAGGTTAGTACTATGATCAAACTTGATTAATAATTTTCTCTTTTTGTTTTAAAATCAGTTCAGTATAAATTTTGCGGTTTTAAGTAATGTTCCCTGCTAGCAGAGAAGAAGAAAGATAGCGCTTTCAAAAACTGCCTGCCTTTATTTCAAACACAAAGTAGATACTACATGAGCCAATCAGAGTTAAAAGAGACCGGGCAAGCCTGGGCGAGCCTATTGTTCCTATTGAATAAAAGAGACGCTCATTAGTAAACCTATACCGAATTAGTATGCAGGAAGGTATGTGAATGTTAATGATTTACCCTATACCTACTTGACGTTAACAAATTGATATGCAGGAAGGCTAGTTGAATATTAAAGATTTGCCTATACCTATAGGTGGTTTTCACAGTGACGTCATCAATAGCGAAAAGTCAAAATAGCGAGGTTTACGAATTCTTATTAACACTAGGTTGAAGATAATCAAAAAGTTAATCTTTGTACAAGTTTTCAGTCCCATAGCATGTTTCATTTCGAAAATACAGCAATTTGAACTTCCGAGTTTTCAGAGTGCGTGACACCAAAATAGGAATGCTGTCTCGTTGAAAAAAAGTCTCTCCTCTTGATTTTCAGCAGTATAACCATTTCAAGTATTAGAAGATATGTTTATGCGCACGTAGGCTAGTTCTCGAGTGAAAAGAAGGAGCTTTTATAGAACAAGTGAACTCCTGATGTTTTTGTTGATTTTCGGCGGCCATATTGGTGCACCAAAACTGTGCACCAATATGGCGTCTCCATACAAAGCTCTACAAAGATGCGTGAAACGTTTCAGCAAATAACTCAGAAACTGTGAGCCAAAAAGACCTGAGACTTGGACAAATTGTTTAAAAATTAGTCTTTTATAACATGTCATTTTCTTGGCTTCTTTCACTGGACGGTTTTCAATTTATTTTTTTGTTGCGTGACAGTGAAAACGATCTATAGCTATACTTATACACCAACAGGGCTTAATTTTAATCATAGTATACTTCTTCGTATGATATGAATTATGCAGATTGAATGTGGACGGTTGAGGTGGATAAGACTCTTTTCGAATCTGCGTAATTTTTGATATTCTGAACTAATAATCGTTGATTAAAGTTATGGTTATGTCTTGAGTTCTGAAATTAAAAAAAAGAGAGAGACTTTTCTAAAAGCGTCTATTATTAAGGACCAAACACATTAATTATCGGTAGAAAACCAGAATTACTGGAAACTTTGACTGATTCGGAAACCCATTAGCTCCTGCTTGATTCAATGCGATTCATTCTATATCCGTTATTGACCAAGCGTGAGGTCAAGATGGCTGGATATTGGCCATTTTTTTGCCTTTTTTATGGACCGAGAAGAAGTTGAGGTCGATGAAAACGCAAAAAAGGACGAGGCCAATATCCAGATATCTTGACTGAACAAGCTTTGTCAACAAAGGATTTATCATGGCCAAAACGAGAACATTTTTCTTACGGGACCAATGCGAGATATCCCGAGAGAGCAAGAATGGTTTGGGTTGCCAATAAGAACACAGGATTCGCTTTATCTTGCCCGCTCGCGGATTCGGCCATATAACAAAATTCCTTACCTTCTGCACCCCATTCATGGGCGATAACAGTTGGATAACAGTTTTTTCTCTATCTTGTTAGGACTGTTGGCATATATCATGACCCAAATTGGCTTGTTCTTGTTACTTCTCCGAGCGATAACAATGTCTCAGGCTGGTAAGTATTTTCACTGTCACGCCATCAAAGAGAAAAATCAAAACTGTTCAATAGATGTATTCCAGAATCAGGGAAACAAAATGGGATAAATATCAAAAGATCTTCACCAAGATTCAGGTCAGCACAATTTTTCGTTTTAGACATACTCGGAGAATTGATTTACCCAAAGTTATAGAGCTTTGTGTGGAGCCGCCATGAACACCAAGATGACGGCCGGAACTGAACACAAACATCTGTCACTGAGTTTTGCTTTGAAAGCGTGAATTCATCCGTCGGAAAACTCTTAAAAATTAAAGTGATACTTTTTCTAACACAATAATTGTCCAGATAGCACAATCTCCCCAAATATGGTACTTTTTTTGACCAGACAGCTCTCTCAGCCGCCATGTAAATGCCGCGTCACTCAAAAGCTTATTAGAAATTCAAGGCACTGTATCACAAAAGGAAAACTCTTTCTTTTTAGTACGTATTAAAAACGGTGGATAATGTTTTTCACACCCTCTCATGCCTGAGATATCCAGTGCTATTCACCTCCGAGCGACGCCAAGCTTGCTTAAGTTACGAGAAAAATGTTTTTTTCGGTTTTCTTTCGTAATGACTCAGTCAATTCTAAGCGTGGCCATCCCCCCTGGGCATTTGTCGGGCATTTGTCATGTTACTTGGTCTCGGCGGTGGGGAATTGTCAGAAAACCTCAGCCCGGGGTGGGGCATTTGTCAATTCTTCTAGACGCGGCTAACGTCGTTCTTTTTTCAATATTTCACTTAAAAAAATATGTTTATTTAAATAACTTTAAAGAGGTAAAGAGATATATGTGGTTCTCGCTCCATCACTTCCCTATCCCACAATATTTTTTTGCATCCGTTTGCTTCCCGCCATCGTGATCAGTTCGCATATGGAGGAAAAACAATAAATGCATCGTTCGAAGAGTTAAAGGAAAAGACGCTTTCTTTGTGCGTGAATGGTTGAGCCAGAAAGGACTAGAAAAACTTTGCGAGATATTTGAAAGCCTGCATAAACTTCGTGCATTGTACGATCAATGCAACAATTTTTAAATACGCTGACGAAACGGTTCCATCGTGATGAGAAAATAAGCTTACTCATGTTAAGCTCATCGGTTGTTTGTTTATCATTCACGTCTTCGAAAAATAAGAAAGGTATTATTAAAATTCTAGTTATATTTCTGTCATTGATATTAATCAGATAGATGTGTTATTTTTTGCAATAATTGTAACTAGCAGCTAGGGGCGATTTGCGTAGGGGGTGCACACGTTTTGATCGGACTATTAGAGATTTCCCATAAAAATGGTATTTTCAGCTTATTTACTGGAAAATACAATTTTGGTGTTGTCCAAGGGTGGGGAATTTGCACTATATTTTTGAGCCCCACCGTTGGGCATTTGCAGCTTTTCCAAAACAAAATTACAAATGCCCCACAAATGCCCGGGGGGCGGGGGAGGGGCAGGATGGGCACGCTTGGAATTGACTGAGCCATAATGAAAAAAAAAAAGCTGTTCCCGTTGAAATTCGGTTTTGCAGTTTTTACAGATAAAGCTTGAAGGGATTTGTTTAGCTCTTGCAGGGATATTTCTTCAAAAACAGTTGTGAATTCTTCCTCTGTTTGAAACCATTCTGTAAAAAGTAATAGTAATAATAAAAAATTTAAATTCAGTTTTAAACTTTGGTAACGCATGACGATGAAAGATCGATGAAACCGGTAAAAAGATTTTTTTGTTACAAAATTAATTAACAGCTAATGAATGATGCTGAGTATCTTATGCAGAATTATGGAGATCGAGGAGGGTGTTATCCGTCGAGGCCGTAACATGCTTACCTCCATCGAGGTAAACGCAAACATGCTTACCTCCATCTGCTCCATGGATCCATCGATGTTAAGTTCATCTTCGATAGTGTACATTTAGGTTTGTCCAGCTCCGCAAATATTCTCCGAATAGCAGATGTCGCCTTCCGAGTTGTCTTCTCGCTGTTTTTGCTATACTTTTAGCCATTACTTCCCCTAGTTCCAGCTGTAGTTCTTACTCTTGAAACGAGTGAAGTGTCGGCCATTTTGTTTTCACAACCAAAACAACTCAACCTCGTCCCAGGTCTTCTCGGTTAACGGTGCCTTAACCTGTAGAAGGCTGCATTTTTGACGTCATTTCCTCGTGAAACTCAAAATTCTTCCAAATTTGGTCATCAGTAACTGGTTATGGTGAATTATGCGTGTGGTTTTAGCCAATCAGAATGGGGGAAATATTTTGAATGAATAATAATGCAAATTAAGTGCTGCGTTAAAAAAATTCACCACTCTTGTTCACGAAATGTCCCCGCAAGAGCTAAACAAATACCTTCAAAAGTTTTATTTGTCGGCAAGAAAACGTGACGGCCGTTTGGTCATTTGCGCACCAAAAATGTAATCGTTTGCAGCAATAAATGAGTTAAAAATCATTTTTGTCCTCAATCATCTCACGGTTTTAGTATATTATTTTATACATAACTAAAAGTAAACAATATATTCACCTGAGTGTTGTGGCTAGTAGTTCGCGTCCACTTCAGTGAAATACCTCAGACCGATAACTGTTATTTAGCTGCTCTAATATCATGGGTGACGAATTACTCCTTAATTTTGGCGCGAAATTTCAGCATTAATTTACAATTTCACATGTGAAATTACAAAATTGCCATGGCAATATGCCGTACGCTTCAGTGCTAAGATGGCGGCAAAGTTTTAAAATGTTATGAATGAAAATGCCAGGGCATGACAAGACGCTTTAAAAAACCTTAACACATGAAAGAGTATATCAAGAAGGACTCTAACAGGTTATTTGTTAAAAAATTCTGAAAACTATGAACTTAAGCCAAAATTTAAGCTCTAAAGTTTTCAGTGCGCAGAGTTCTCGACCTATAATCAATTTGATAAACATGACAAAAACCAACCATTGTGAATGTAGCGTCACCCATGATAATAAATAATCAAATGGTATACTCGTGAAATTAGGGAATAATTTCACACGCGCGAGTCACAGTTTGATGACGCATACTAACTGACGTCATAAAAGTAAAAACTCAGGTGGATAGATAATTGATTAGTTTGATGACGTCATGTGAAAACCAGCAATGCCATGGAAATAAACAAAAAAGGTCGGGAAGAGAGTGAGAATAACAGGCTACTACTCTTCTCTAAGAATTTTTGTTGTCAAGTTTATCTCGGATTGCCCCATGATGGGATCCGTCTGCGATACTATTCGCCGCTACTGGTCTCCCAAAATAGTCAAAAGCTAAATCAATTAAGATAAAAGCTGCAATACTTAAGAACCTTGCATGTTTTTAACAAGATACGTGTTAGGGCCTGTTTACATGGAGGTGGGGGACCCCAGGTAGGTGAGATAACATGTGGCGGGTCACCCCACCTATCATGTAATTAAACGTGATCAAATTAAAATGAGAAGTATATGGACAGGCGGGTTACCCCACCTAAACGGGTTACCTCACCTACCTGGGGTCGCCCACCTCCATGTACACAGGCTCTAAGAGTTTTTTTTATTATATAAACACCAATGAAATACCACGTGAGCTTTCGCGCGTTATTTTCAAATGCGAAAAGATCACCGTTGCTAAAGGTACATAATAAATCGCGCCTTTCGCAGAAAAGAAATATTTAAGGGAAATGGTTTGGCATTTCATCGGTGTTTATATAATAAATAGAAAATTACATGGCTGCTCGGAGATACGAAATTTCTCTTCTCGTGTTGAAAAATATTTCACTCGTTTGCTGTACTCACTCATGAAATATTTTTTAACACCTTAAGAGAAATTTCGTATCTCTGCGCGACCATGTAATATCCTCTGTTTCTTTTTTGCAGTCTTATTACATGCTATGGGCAGAGTTCTGATAAAGCAGTGAAACTTTATTCTACGTATTATTACTGTTTGTCGTCCTAATTGTAGCTTCAAAAAAAACAGCTGCATTAGCTTGCATTTGAACATAAATGCCACGTGAATTATTATTGTTATTATTATTAATTAGTGTCATCTCAACGGACATCTTCCGGGAGTTGGTCCCTTCCATTCTAATGTAATTTTCTTTGCCTTTCTCTTTAAGGCCGACACCTCACATGTCCTCAAGACTGGAAAGAATTTGAAAACTCGTGCTACAAGTTTATGGATAGTTTTGGTTATTCGCGGGAATTCAGTTGGTCGGGAGCTTTAAGCGTGTGTTATGGGTTTGGAGGAGACCTTGTTAGTGTGGCGAATAAAAAGGAAATGGATTTTGTTTATAGCCTTTCTCCCAATATCACCGACAATCCAGCTTGGATTGGGCTGGTTTATCAGTTCCAGAAAAATGAATATTTATGGAGCAATGGAGAATCTTTTAATGGGTCTTTTTCCGTCGAGTCGCTTGAGTACTGTATAAATAGTACTGTATGTGAAGACAAATGTGGCGAAATCTTCAGAAATGATTTGAACCTCACCAAATGTTGCAAGAAAAACAAATATTTCATCTGTGAAAGGGCGAAAGGTAGGTTGTTCCTAAGAAAGCACGTGATAAGAAAAAAATTAAGGATAGGCGGGATTGTGTTTTTTTTTGTTAAAAACATCTCATAAACTACAGCTACAAACCAGTGGGGAGTACCGGACCTTCTGTAAACAAATATAAGGATACAAATAGATTTTGATATTCGTTTTTATTTCATCTCTGTATTCTCCCAGTCTTCTTGATGTAAGGATCAGTTTTTAATTTGTAGTTTTGCATATATATGGTCAGTTGTGAGCCGTTTTGCCAAATAAAGATGAATCTTAAGCTTTGACTTGCTCGGGGGCTTCGTCTCTATAAAAATTTGGAGGTGCTCGTCGAAATTTTCAAAATACGCCCCTAAAAGATATCAGAATATAGCATCTGTGTGTGGCTCAAATTCATTTTAACCCCTCCTGAGAGGCACTATACGGAAAAAACGGTTGAGCAACCAAAATACATCTTATAATTTTCAGCGAGACATCCTGTCGACAGACTTCTAAGTGGTATCAATGCACAAATCAAATATTAACCCCCAAAAGGTAGGGCGAGTTCCCTTATTATCTTTTTTGGTGACTTCTCCCCTGGGTACTTGTTTTGCTTTGGTTTTTTTTCACTCTTATCGCCAAAGTTACTTCGAGTTTTAATTGGTTCACTGCTCACGTTTTCCCTCTTGTCGGATTAGTACATACATGTGTCAATCAAATGCCATAATTTCACGGGTGTTACACTCTTGTCCAAATCCTACATACTAATTTGGGCGAGGGGAATTATTACCTAATTTCACGAGTATACCATTTGATTACCTCTGATTATGGGTGACCCCACTGACGAATTACGCTCACAATCGTAGGTTTTTGACATGTTTATCAACAAGATTATCGAACCAGAAATCCACGCACTGAAAACTTAATACAGCGTAAAATCTTCCTTAAGTTTATAAGTTTCAGACTTCTTCGACAAAATTCCTGAAAGAAACCTTCTTGATGTGCTCTTTCGTGTGTTTAGGTTTTCTTAACCATCTTTTGATGCGCTGACATCTTCATTTCTAACATTTAAAAACTTTGCCGCCATCTTAGCACTGAGACGTGCGAAAGGTTGCCAAGGCAATTTTATAATTTCACATGTGAAATTATAAATTATCGCTGAAATTTCGCGCCAATTTGTCACCCATCAGATTAACTTTCTTGGTTTAGTGTACTACTAACTGCTCTTTAAATTAGGTCCACTGGCTTGTTCTACCGATTGGTATCTCAGTGGGTCATCTTGCTACAAAGAAAATAAAAAAAATCAAAATACATGGATAGGTGCTCAAGAGGCATGTTCTGACTTCGGAGGAGGTCTGGTGAAGATAGATAATTACGATCAGCACCGATTTTTGATTCGTTTCCTGGAAATTTCTGGTCTAAAGAAAGAGGGAATAAATGTAAGTACGAGTTATTTACTTCAGGAATCACCAGCTGTTAAAATTAAGCGTAAAGACATGCTTACTGATATCTTCTTCTTCTCAGGAACAAAACAGTTAGTAGCCCATTCGCCACTTTAGAAAATACCATAATGATCCTTTTGCCCCCCAAATTTTGCATAACTATTGTTTTCAGTTTCTCTTGGGACTTAGAATCGTCCCAAAAGAAACTGAAACTACCATGGCTATGCAAAATGTTTTTTGCGGGACAAAAAGATTATTACGGTATTTTCTAAAGTGGTCAATACTTTTCTTCCATAAGATTGTTGAGATCCAGGAATTTTGCTACCATGATAAGATGACGTCACACTTCTCTCTATTGTGCAATGTTTAGTAATAGTGCACCGTCTGTCAATCAAGGTTTACTAAGAAAGACGTAACAAAAGCACTATCGTTTTTTTAAGGTGGGTGGCACTGATTTGCAGCATTTTTCGAATAATGTGACAATAACAAACGCCCCATGATTAGTGACGAGGCTATAAAAACGTTTTGACAAGTTTTCATGTTTTAAAGCACCCTTAATGATAGCCTTTAAGGTGGCTCGACCCGAATGATTACCTTGGTACAGTACTCGATCATGTTGTTGGTTGCAGAAACAATTTCCTCCCACGGTCCCTAGCTTCAACTTGAAAAGTCTCTCCTTGTAAGAAAGGAATGTGCAATTTGTAAATCGCCCGTAAAATTGACACATTCACTTGGATAGTAACAAAAGCTTTATATGCAATGTCCCACAGAAATAAAACTGATTTTAATTTGCTTTGCAAGTTTTAAGAGACAGAAAATTACTGTTTATAAATAAAAGAATTTAAAACCCAAGTGATTTATTTACTTCTCACTTAGGGCAAAATTAATGACTCCAAACTAATGCCAATCATTTCTTATTTCAAAAAGGCTAACTTGCCTATCCATTCACGGCTTAAAAACGCGCAGCCGGCAGACCTGAATGAACCCCCATTTAATATGGGGGTCTTGTTTGCACTTAACTAGATTTGTTAATGTCTTGTCTGTGTCCATTTTTAAGTACGTGTGGTTTGACAACACCGGGAACTCAAGATGTAGAGGAATGAACACAGAGACTGGAACGATGGAAGAGCCCGACAACTGTGAAGAGCAGTATATGCACTATGTTTGTGAAAGGCCAGCCGCCTCAACTATAAGTAAATACAATTTTTATATGATCCAATTCTACTAAAGGTTTAGTTAATGCCCGGGGGGACTGATGCTTCCCAATATAAAAAGACGGGGATACTCGACGCCTTGTTTGGGGGTACGGGGAAATTGCAGATCAGTTTAGTGTCATTACTCGGGTTAAGGACTCAGAAAGCCATATTTGGACCCACACAAGTAGCTTTATAGGGCTTTGCGCGAAGAAATGACCGATAAAAAAGAAGAAAAGAAGACACAGTTAATAGGCACAATTCAGACGTCGAACTTTTCATGTACCGAACTTGATACCTGTTAAATGATACAAGTTCAACAGTTTTTTCAGACGTCGAACTTAATTTAATAGCCAAAGTATTTTACAGACATTCTCTTACCCATAGGCGTACGGGCAATTTTTTGCCAGGGGGGGCGGTAAACCATTTGCCCAAAAAATTCTCGCAAGTTGCCCCAATTTTTTCTTTTTTAGGAACAGTAGAAAAGAAACGAGGGCCATACGATGCAATAACGTAGGCCGTACTGGCATATGAAGGTGGCGCGATACTATGACAGTTTTTCAGGGTCAATACCTCCCAATTTTGAGAATAAGTACGTCGCCATAGACACACATTTGGAAAAATTGCTACCATAGTTTTATTAGATAAAGATGAAAATTTATCATGAGCAGGGTTTTAATGACATCGGAATTGTCATAGCAACGAAATGACGCCATTGTCTATTTTACTTCCAGCAATATTTCTCGGCACTAGGAACTGTTCCTACAAAATTGTTCACGGGAGCTTTTTTCTCCAACAGTCGCCTCGATGTTCGTGAAGTTAAAACGGAATTTATAGGAGCGTTATTGGGATATTTTGGGATGAAGTTTTTATCTTTATAAATATGGTAAAAAAAATCTTGATGTTTGGCCGTTATTTGTAGAAAACGAAGCTCTTTTGACATGCAATTTCACCTCATGGTAGCTTCAAGCTTTTTAAAAACGTGTGTAAAAGATATGATCATGGAGATAGCTCCAGCTGATTGCTAGAGATAAGGATTTCATTAGTATGTATCGATTGCTTGATAGATTTTTAATCAAATTTAATATTCTTCTCGTAATTCGAGCTGAGCACTAGTCAGCCACTTCTTAATTTTCAGACCCACTGTTGCTGATGTTATCTGCCATTCACTGTTCTACTAGCAGAGATGATTCTAGAAAGATATGCGGAAGTTTATTCTAATCAATTCACGACTGGAAAGAGCTCATTCCAGTCAGTGCAGTGCAGTACAGTGCTCAACAATAACAAACTATAAATACGTAAATCAACAAATGATACCCTTCCCTATAACCAGAAACTCATCAAGTGCTAGGCAACCACTGTGAGTGTCTCGAGAGAAAGTAACTGGATTATTACACTGACTTCAGGATTTTTTCAGATTAAAATAGAAGATGTTTGTCTCTTTAGAGTAATAAAAAAACATGGAAACGTGTTGAAAAACTGGCTTTGCCCAAATTTTCTCTTGCTGCCCAAAAAATCTGAGTTGCCCAAAATTTGGGGGGGCTGCAGCCCCCCTCGCCCCCCCGGCCCGTACGCCTATGCTCTTACCCTGGGAACGAGGTGTACTGTCGCAATTTGTAATAATCATCGCACTTTGTAATGCCTGTCGCAATTTGTAATAAATCCATCGCACTTTGTAATACCTGTCTCAATTTGTAATAAGCAGTGTCGCAATTTGTATTAAAAAAGCTGTCACAATTTGTAATAACAGTCCATCGCACTTTGTAATAAACTAAGCTGTCGCAATTTGTAATAATTCCATCGCACTTTGTAATAATTTTTTGAGAGTGATTCAACTTACTTCGTCAACATTAATATAATGCCAAAATATGCATGGTACTTCATAAACAAAGATGATGACGTCTGCTAGCATGTAACATGTTCGTAACATTTTCTTTGGTCAAACATGCATGTCTTCCGCTAGCTTCCGCTATAAATTTTTCTGCCTTGATTAATCACGTGACTAAATATAACTAGAAACGCTTTTATGAAAGACATGAAACTTCCTGTGACATATCACCAAAAAGATATGAATCACGTTTAAATTCAAAAATATTTAAATAAGAAAGGCAACATTTAACAACAGAAAATTCATGAATAACCTGGCATTCGTCGTCCAAATCCATGTTTGCTTGCCACGTAACACGTGAAGTCTTCGGCGGGGGAGGGGGGGGGATAATCCCATATATGGATGGGCTAGATAGGTAAGTACCGCCTGATAGGGTATGGTTTTTGAGGATCTCGAGCCTTTAAGGTGACTCGACCCAGTTTTTTTTGGGGGGGTACCATCCTACTTTGAAGCTCTCTGGTATCCCCACCTTTACTTTTATCGTACGTCTAACACATAGAATGGATAACATATAGATCAATCTACAATATAACATAAAATTTTTGGCGATCGGAGTAAATGTCACGTGGTTATAATGCCACGCCCCTTTGAGGTCTGAGTCGAAAATCTGCTGTTGCCGACATTTTTTCGTGAAAATCTCTCGGCTACACATAGTGCGCATTAGTGCCTTGCGCTGAACAGAGTTTCACCAAAATCGCAAAGACCCAATTCGAGAAATTCAGCGGTTTCCAAATTTAGGTCATAATTTATGCGAAAATGAAAAGCAAACTGTACACGGATTATATCTAATAAACTATGAGATTCATCTCTTTATTTTGGGCATCGTTATAACAGATGGGTCCTTGCAAGTCAGCAAAACGCTTTAGGGCCTTGTAAATGCGTGCGATTTCGAGCAAAGCAAACATATAGAAATTTCAGTTTTCGCTATTTGTTGACGTTTGTCAGCGTTTAAGAGTCCTTCTCACGAAAAAAGCATTTTCTTAAAAATTCGTAGTTTTATTTCCTTCAAATTTTTTCAGGGCCACAATTGATTAACTAACTACCCGGTCTCTGAATTTCATGGTTATTGAAAAACTGTGACATTATCTTCTATAAGCCCAAACTTGAGTAAACATTGAAGATTTTTAGCGTTTTGGCTGAGGTTGTGCTTTCGGAGTTGTCTATTATTTCTAGTCTGTCATTATACAGCATTCTTGTTCAGCACGCGTGCAATGACCACGCTTGGCTGACTTCCGAATGCTCACCGAGATATTCCCGTCATGAGTTGGTTTAATTATTGGCTTGCATTAAACTTATGAAAAAATGATATTTTTTAATAGTAAGTAGATTTAGTGTGTAGCACTTCTTGATTTTTTTGCAAAGGCACAAGAAGCACGAGAATTGATTAAAAATTGTGAGTTAAACCTCTATGTATCACGCGATGGCCTGTCTCACTGTACCAAAATTATCATATCTCGGTGAGCATTCGGAAGTCAGCCAAGCGCGGTCATTGCACGCGTGCTGAACAAGAATGCTGTATAATGACAGACTAGAAACAATAGACAACTCCCAAAGCACAAACTCAGCCAAAACGCTAAAAATCTTCAATGTTTACTCAAGTTTGGGCTTATAGAAGATAATGTCACAGTTTTTCAATGACCATGAAATTCAGAGACCGGGTAGTTAGTTAATCAATTGTGGCCCTGAAAAAATTTGAAGGAAATAAAACTACGAATTTTTAAGAAAATGCTTTTTTCGTGAGAAGGACTCTTAAACGCTGACAACCGTCAACAAATAGCGAAAACTGAAATTTCTATATGTTTGCTTTGCTCGAAATCGCGCGCATTTACAAGGCCCTAAAGCGTTTTGCTGACTTGCAAGGACCCATCTGTTATAACGATGTCCAAAATAAAGAGATGAATCTCATAGTTTATTAGATATAATCCGTGTACAGTTTGCTTATCATTTTCGCATAAATTATGACCTAAATTTGGAAACCGCTGAATTTCTCGAATTGGGTCTTTGCGATTTTGGTGAAACTCTGTTCAGCGCAAGGCACTAATGCGCACTATGTGTAGCCGAGAGATTTTCACGAAAAAATGCCGGCAACAGCAGATTTTCGACTCAGACCTCAAAGGGGCGTGGCATTATAACCACGTGACATTTACTCCGATCGCCAAAAATTTTACTTTATATTGTAGATTGATCTATGTGTTATCCATTCTGTGTGTTAGACGTACGATAAAAGTAAAGGTGGGGATACCAGAGAGCTTCAAAGTAGGATGGTACCCGCCAAAAAAACTGGGTCGAGTCACCTTAATAGGGTATCATTTTTTACGTTGTTGGCCTTGTGTCTTTGGTTTGATCCTTAGATAGGGTAACTCAAGTAGTAATGGATGGTTTATTCCATCCTTTCCATTTTGTAGAAAAACAGTAATCTAGAACACGCTCGGAAGAATTGCAAGGTCTTATGAGTTGTATATACGCAGGGAAGGATAATTTTTTACCATCCCCATGGTATTTGCTTTAGAGGACTCCTTACAGAAAACAATTGTTTTAAGATGGAATGAGTACTCCTTTTGTTCCTATATGGGACCAAATCAAGTGAGAATAATGGACCAAATGCCCAGCCGGCTCAGTGTAAGACCCCAAGTGAGTGTTATAAAAACAGGTACATACGAAGGTATTGGCCAGCGACTAATTGGATTTTGTGTTTAGGTTTCTGTTGTGGTTCGAAGGTTTGCCACTAGTGACGCTTTGTTTTATTTGCAGTAAACATTTTGAATCTTTCCAGGCCTCGTTTGATTAAGTTGGCCAAAATATGGAAGCCACTATTACTTCTTTAAGATTGCTCGTTAGACAAGAACGGTTTACCACGTGATGTGTCAACCTGTTATAAGATCTAACAATGAAAGCTTCAACTCTCCTGGCGTCCTTATTCGAATGATGTAGGATGGATATTACGATTAGCGGAAATTAAATGCTTTTTAATAATGGCTTGTTTGTGTCTAGTGTGTCTAGCTCTGTCTAGATCCTCTACTCTGGCAATGCTCTGTCCAGAGGCACATTCCCGTATTGGCCATATAAGGAAGTACACCCGCCGGGTAACCATTGAATGCAAGCCACCTAGTACAATAGCAAGGTTCAAGAATACAGCATTTCGTAAGTCAGATAACTGATCAGCATTAATCTAAAAAAATGTTTAGACCTGTGAATAAAGTTAAATGTTTGAATGAGCGGAGATGTTACGTGCTAGCAGACGTCATCTCCATCTTTGTTTATGAAGTACCATGCATATTTTCGCGTTATATTAATGTTGATGAAGTAAGTTTAATTACTCTCAAAAAGTTATTACAAAGTGCGATGGAATTATTACAAATTGCGACAGCTTAGTTTATTACAAAGTGCGATGGACAGTTGTTACAAATTGCGACAGCTTTTTTATTACAAAGTGCGACACGGTCTATTACAAATTGCGACAGGTATTACAAAGTGCGATGGATTTATTACAAATCGCGACAGGTATTATAAAGTGCGATGATTATTACAAATTGCGACAGTACACGAGGTTGTAAGGGAATCATAGTTTTAGGCTTAGTATTCAAATCTGGTGACTGCCCAGCTCTTTAATTTTCCCAACTTCGCTCGCACTTGAAATGAGCTGAAGATTTTTAATTCCTAGAGACCATTGAGCTTGAAAAGCCGGCGAAATGACGCAGACAATACGGTAATTAGAAATTAGAAATTAAAACTCGCGTACTAAATGTGTACCGCGGTCACAGGCAAAGGAAAGGTTTCAAAAAACCTTTGGTTTCAAAACACTACTTATCTCCATTTTTTTCCTATTACCTGGAGAAAATGGCTCAATTTCTTTTTCCTGGCTGGCTAATTACCAGTTATTTTTTGCTGTGAAAAAAGGAAGGAATAGACATCCCTGGCAGGGAAAATGACTTTTTGGTAAAAATCCTAGCTGGGAAAAGCCCTTAAGGTAAAGATCCTGGCTGGATATTGTATTTTAACACCTACCTCTAGCTGGCTTTGGGGAGCGGATATAATTTTCCCACAGAAGTTACTAATCAACCAAAAAACACTTAGTGACTGTCAAAATATTACTGGAGGCGATATCCAATCACTTTCGAATTTTTTCTCGTTGAGTACTCCTGACTGTTAACGCAGCGGAATTGCAAACTGTACAATGCCGCCAGCAGGAGTCTTCACGACGGTTTTGCGAGACACCTAAGGTCCATGAGTTAAAGTACGGCTTTTACCGTCAAAGCATGTCAAAACCATGCTTGTTTTCCTCGAATTTATTTTTCAGTTCCTCATAAATAAAGCTCTACCAGCGTCCACCGGAGAATTTTATGGGCAAAAATGTTAAGGATAATTAATTGAACGATTTTGATTAAAATTGGTTGTCGTTGCGCAATGGATAACGCCTTGACCTTACACGTCGAAGGTTCGGGGCTTGACTCCCGCGCTAGAGAAATTTTTTTGGGGTCGTTTTGTTTGGTTTTCTTTTTTTCTTAAAACATATTTTCATTTTTTGACAGACTTAAAAACACCGCTAGACTAATTGCAAGTTCATTGTCAACTTTTATTCCTAAAATAATTAATCCACGAATTTGCCATAGGAACGGCTAACTAAATTTATTATTGAGATATGGGTTACTTTGGCCGCCTTCCATTTGCTTGGAAAAATCCCAGTTTCTATCTGTTCTTAATGCTTGATAATGAAGGCCAAACAATACCACTGGCCACTTTCGATAACTTACGCTTTCCTTTCGTTTACAAATATTTCACTCAACAACTTTCAAATCGTTTTGACGTTTGGGGCTAGGGATACGAGACGAGGATAACACAACGGTTTGAAATTTGTTTTGGGTATCTCCCTTGCCAGGTCAGGGCCGATAGTTGTGAAAAACATTGTTGATAGGTTCAACCAGTTCGTTTGCAGAATTAATTTTCGATGTTTCGTTTTTTTCCTTCTTTGCGCGATGTTACCCCATCTTTTGCGCGCGTTTCCTTTGCTCATTTCCGGATTATCTCTGAAATACCGTCGCTCACCTACTTTAACGGCATTATTTGTCTCATGCCTTTTTCTTTCGCTAAGCGGAGTGACCTTGTCAGATATTCTGTATCTAAAACACCCACATGAGAAGGAGACTAGCCTCTCAGTTATCCTGCATTTTTCCACAGGCAGTATTTGTTATCAGAACCCAAACAATGATTCATCGGTTCCCATCAAAATCAAGTGCTCATTCCCAGAAAACCTTTGTTTCAAATTTGACAAGAAAACGGAGGATAACAAACAAGTCACCATTCAAGGATGTATATCCGCTGATCAATGCAGACAGTTTGATGACGAACATTTGCAATGTTGTAAGGGAGATCTTTGCAATAATAGTAAGTGTCATGGTTATACAAACGCAAAAATTTATTAATTTACGCGCACTCTAAGATTTTGGCATTGTTGCAAAACAGAGACAAGTTGGTTCAAAATTTTAAATCATGATGATGATGAGGAGAAAACTGATCGGAAAGCAAATATGGTGTACTCCTACTGAATTTTTTTTCTTTCTTCTTTTTAATTGTTACCTCTTTTGATTATAATGCTTCTATTTCGCAACTGGTAAGTCTTCGGCCAATCTCAGCTACGGCAGGATCAAGGTAGGTGTGTTTCAAATGTTGTTCAGTGCCCGGGGGGGGTACTCCCATACATTACCTATACGAGTATGTGCCGCCCAAAGGGGTCGTGATTTTGAAGCTCCTGATTTAGAATGGGGTATCCATTTCAGAGGCGTTTTCTAGAACGGGGTATAATATTTCGAATGCACGAAAGCTCCACTTTTGTAAGCAGTCATTTGAAAGTATTAAAGGACAGATTGCTTTTAAAAATACGGTTCAATGCGTTAACAAGCAAACCGTTGTACTCTTGTTGCACCCTAGAACGGAGTATAAAAAATTGGCCCATTTCTAGAACGGGGTATCAGTTTTAGGGCGAATTCTAGAACGGGGTAGAAAAAATTGACCCATTTCTAGAACGGGGTATCAATTTTAGGGGAAATTTTTTCTAGAACGGGGTGCCAATTTGGAGTCCCGGGCGGCACATACCCACTCAAAAAATACCCAAGTGCCCCCCCCCCCCGGGTTCAGTGATGGCACAGCGGGTTCCTCGTGATACACGGTAAGTCTTCGACTATTTGAATCTGTGTTTACCCAATTTTAAGGTAACGGACTCATTTCATTAGCTGTTTTTGCCACAAGATTTTCGAGCAGCATGAATTTTTTTCTTTAATGTTTCCCAAGAATGAATATTTTTTTGGTCAAGATGTTGTACACGAATTTTTTTTTCCTTGAAGTAACAGTAAACTAAAAAAATATTAAATCGTTCAGTTGTCCACTTAGCCAAGGGCATAATTTAAATATAGGCTACCTGGCACGTATGCAAAAGTGAATTGATACATATCCTAAGGTACAGTTCACAATGGTCTTTCATACACAAGGTATCCTGTATTGTACGTACATTGGTACTTCACAAGTTCATATTGCATTGCTGAAATTTTAAATAATCATTGGATGAGGTTTTTGTGATATCCAGAGTAATCAAGGTGGAGGTAGAGACCTTGATTATTCTGGATATCACAAAAACCGAGTGTAAACTGTATGTTTTCAAAGTTTGTGTCAACTCTATCCTTTCCTCAGGTTCGCTCAGTTTGTTTCTCTTTCACGTAATCAGCAAACAGCTCCTTAACCACCTTCGTCGACTTTTTGTGTTTTGTGTGTCGTTGTCTTCAACTTTTTTTCGATGACCTGCTCGGTCAACGAAGCAAACTTGGAAGTCATGTTCTTGCTCCTTCACTGACGGCAAGCAACACAAAGCGCGCGAACTTGACATGATTACCCTTAGAAATCATGCATCGCGGTCATACGTGACATGATTACCCGTGACCTTGAGTGTCCTTGTCATGATTATTGTATAACTGATCTGCAGCTAGATGACGTACCAGGCGCTGATTTCGAAAATTCACTGTACGCTTTCGGGCAATCAGAAAAGAGATAGTGAGTTCAGTGTATAATAATACATGTAAACAGAATTACGAACAACAAGTCACGACAGGAATGTTTCAGGCTCAAACACGAAAGTTGCCAGTGTTAGTTCATCACTGGGCACAAAATAAGGCATTCTTATGACATTATACAAAAAGAGTGTGTTTTCACAATAATAATTATAGAGTCTATTGTTGCTTTCTTAAAGGATACATAAATAAATTTAATTATACTTCTCTATATATCATATAAAATCAACGTCTTATAAGGTTATCGTTTCCTTACTTTGTGTTATACATCTAATATCTGAGTTGGGGGCACTATAGAGGAGCTGTAACCATCAATGGTTTGGCGCCAAACATTTGAATTTTGAGAGGGCGCTAAACAGATGTGGGCACACCGCTCACAATAAAGAAATGACCGAAACCGGAAACCGCCCATAAAAAGTCTCTGGCATCCAGGTTAGCGACTCAAAAAATCTGCAGCATATCTCCCATCTACTCATACTGGCTTTCTCTTATCTCATTGTGTTTATACCGCATCAGATCTTTTATAGTGGTTGGACATAAATTATTTTAAAGTTATTTAATAATTATTTCTGAAATTGCCAGCTATTAAAATTTATGATAAGCGTACAAGCCTCAGATATATTTTTTTTTACATCAGGTATGATTATTTACAAGACCAAAATTCAGCAGGAAGTTTAATTTATTCAAGGAGCTGATGTTTTGCACACAGTATGCTTTATGCTTTCCTGCCTGCCTTTTTGAGATTTGTACAAAATGTGTGGAAGGCCAATGCAGGAATTTTTTTCCTGGTCTACTCTGCGTGCATGAATTTTTTTTTTTTCACTTAATTTTCCCTTGGATGATTTTTTTTTTGTACCTCGCCTCCCCCCCATAACTTTCTAATGGTCCGTCCCAAGGCACAGTCGCTAACCTGGATGCCAGAGACTTTTTATGCGCGGTTTCCGTCATTTCTTTATAGTGAGCGGTGTGCCCACATCTGTTTAGCGCCCTCTCAAAATTCAAATGTTTGGCGGCCAAACATTCATGTTTGAACCCACTTTGAACCTATTTTCTCGTTACTTGTCCACGGTTGGATCCAAACGACGGTATCACAGCTCGCGGGTGTGCGTGGATGTCGCCGGAAGAGGCAGTTGTCGTTTTAATTATTTATATACTGATGTAGCGAAGACCTCAATAAGCAATTTTTCACGAGGAGTGCATTTTAGCTTTGGTCATTATCTATAACATTGTGCTCAGCGTAACAATCCGGCATTCTTTTTTTTTTCATTTTTCTAGGTCACCTCATTCACAAGAGGAGATTATTCCTCCTGACAGGTGGGAAATTCTGCCTGAGCAAATAGAGTTTGAGGAAGAGCTGGGGAGAGGAGAATTTGGTGTTGTTTACAAAGCACAATTTAGACAGAGAGATGAGATTGAGGTGTTGGACAATGCGGAGACTTCAAAATGGCCTGTATCATCCACAAAGAAGATAGCACAGGTGGTGGCTGTCAAAGTTTTACATGGTAAGAAATACCAACTGTTATCCTCATAGACAAAGGCCAGCATGAAGTCTTAACTGCCTTTCAGCCCTCTTCATACTACTGACTGTAAGAACCCTTTTGGATTTAAATAACTCTCTGGGAACTTTAAGATCTCAAAGCAAATTTAAACAGAAAAAAAAAACTCGACTCTTTTTGAAGACGGGATCCCATGGCATTAAAACAAATTACACCACCTAAAGACATTGCATTTTTAAAATCGGGACTGTCTCTCGTTGGTGAAGAGCACGTCAAGTAATTTGTGGTTTCTTTATTCACCATGTAGGTGTGAAAAAATAAATTAAGGCTGTTAAGTTCCGAAAAAGTAGGTTTTAAGCCTATTAGCTCTAAACAAATGCATCTCTTACGAATTTACATTTCCCCAAAACCGAAAAAAAAGTAAATTGATCTACAGGGCCTGAATGAAAGCCAATAACGAAAATAAGTTTTTAAAATGCAGCCTCTAGTGAATACATGTATGACAACTCTTTCTGAAGGAAGGATCGGATGCATCTGATGATTTGTTTGCCCTTTTTGTGATCCATGTTGCCCAGTTTACACCGCAAGTCATTTGATAATGTGGAGAACTAAGGGGAAGAAATTATGAAATTGAGCTACGAAATCACCATGCTCACGTCTAGACCTAGGGGGTTTTCTCTTATTAGAAGCTATACAAGTGTGAGCGGGGCCGAAGGACATGGTTTTTAACCCCTTTATGTGTGAAATTGGGAAAAGATTTCCACGATTTTGGAAAAACAGATAAAACGAGAAACAGGATTCGGTTTTGCTCTGCCTTGTACCAGGTCTGTATTTATTTTATTCTATTTTATTGTTGGTTTATTATTTATTTATTTATCTATCTATTTATTTATTTTTTTTTGATTCGCCTTTCATGAACAGAGGTTTAGGTTGTGAGGGAAACCACATAGTCACATCACACCGCCACCCGAAATTTCCAGGAGTAGCTCCCGGGGCTGCTGGGAGGGTGCAGTGGCAAACTAAAAACAGTAACAAATGTCTGAATATTTCTAGATATTCTATTACACGGTAGAATACATCTGTATATACCCTTGTGCATTAGAGGATGAGTGGGAAGCGGTAAAAATGGACGAATATGTTTTTCAAATGAAACATTTTGCACTGAGTAATGCTGAAGAATAACGCTAATAAAATCAACGTCATTTTATTTAATTATGTTTAGATAATCCATCTGACGCACAGAAAGAAGAGTTCACGTTTGAGATTGAACAGATGAAGCTGCTGGGTTCACACAAGAACGTTGTATCCATGGTTGGATGCTGCACGCTTCAGGAGAAAATGTTGCTGGTTATAGAATACGTCCCGTGTGGTGACCTGCTGACGTGGCTACGCCGCAGGAGAAAAAAGGTAAGGAGATGAACAATTATACAATTAGGTTATAACGAAATTATCAAGAAACAGATATAGGGAGACAACATTACGAATATATTTTGGTACTATCTGAATATTTTGTAGAACTTATTTAAGCAACTGCAGTTATTCTTCAAAATTATAAATTAAAGCATTTAATGATAATACTAACAATAATAATTATATAATATTTATTATTATTATTATTATTATATTATTATAGTTTTAAAAGTATTTTATCCTTGGGTGTAACAACATAGGGATGGTATTAAAATCCTCCTTACGAATGTTAGTCCATAAAACCTGGTGTGCCTTTAATTAGGGGCCGTAATCTAGTATGGAGATAATAACTTTTTGACTCTAGGATCGCTTGAAGCCATGCAGACGTAAAGTACCGTTTTTGTTACTTGCTTGATGTTTAGATCAAAGAACTTCAAGCTACCGAGAGATCTTATGCTGACAAAGAGGTTCTGAAGGATCAGAGAGAGACCAGAGATCAAGTAGGCTTGTATATAAACTGTAGTTTAACTTTCCATACTAGCTCTCTCCTAAAACGTTTATTAATATCCTAGCTATCCCTGGCTATCTAATCTTAACCCGTCCGATTGTTGTTGAATGGTTTGCGCGTAACGTAATGATAATCAAAAAGAAAGAATTATTGATCCTTTCAATTTAGTGAACTATTAGAAAAACTGAACACGTGTATTTCTACAAAGTTTCAGTTCGAAAGGGTTCTTCATTTTGTGACAGAACACGTTTGAATATTCGAATATATTGCGTGACGCGACAATAATAGGGCAACAAAAGCTGTCACGTAACTGTAGGTTAAAGAGTGACATATCTCTTTTTTAAATTTTGCTACCTGAACAGTCCTTGTTTATTGAATACGTATTAAGTTTAATGTTTATGAGCTCTCCAGAGATGAGTACTCGCTTTATGGCAATGTTTCTGTTAGTTTCCGGCCGCCATATCTGTGTTCATCAGAGGGACGCCAACATGGCTGGCGTTTCAAAACCAAGCTCTATAAATTTGTGTAACACACTTCTCCGAATACCTCGCAAACGAAAAAACCGCACAGACCTGAATCTTAGCAAGACTTTTTGCATATCCCTTAGATTACTTAATTTATTCATTTCAACACAGGTCAGTAAACTTGCCCAGAAACAGATAAAGCAAGCGGAGAAAATACAATTGAGTATGGAAATGACCCCATTACTACAGGATAACAGCGAGGACACAGCGTCGACTTCTTATCATCTCGGTGACGAAGTATGAAAGAAGTCAATCAGAAGGGCTAAAACATTTTAGATGACGCTTATTTCTACTACTATATATGGAAAAACTGCTTAACTCAACTCAAACATGGTTAAGGCTTGTAGCTCATGAAAGGAATTCTCGTGTAATCCTTGTAATCCTGACTAGTGCAATCGATAAAGTCGATAATCGATATAAATAATGGATAAATCTCGATAAAGAGCGATTGATGAAATTGAAAATCGATAAAAATCGATAGAGGAAAAAGTTGTTGCTAATCGATAATTATCGACTTTAATCGATTTTTATCGGAGTTGTCGATTTTAATCGGCGCTTACTCAATTAGGTTAACATTGGCAAAGAACGTTGTTTCCGAACATAAGCACACTATTTATGTGGCTTTGGACGGTTAAATTTGTAGCGAAATGTGTTTTACAAATTACACTGAATATTCTAACGAAACATTTTCGGCCAATTGACAGGATAGAAAAGAGTTATAAACAACTGACTCAGCTTGCTTGCACTGGAAAGTGTTCAAGTTGAACCCTACAATATATAGTTCAGTAAGGGGGCTAAGTAGGCCCATGCGCCCCCACTTTTTTGGGCGACAATTAAAAAAAGAAGAAGACTACCACTTTACCGTCGAAAATACTGAGTGAATAACACAACGCAATTCCCCCTTCGATTTACAAAATGTGTTGATAGGGTTAATTTTGTAACCTCTCAAGTCTGTTTAAATTACAGCCGTCTCTCCTCGCTCCTAATCACTAGGGATGTTTTCCTTTCGCAGGGAAGACGGGGAGAGACGGCTGTCATAAAGACTACTGATCTCGTCCTTTGCTTGTAATTTCATTTGTAAATATGCAAAACAAAGTAGATAATGAACTCCGCAACTAAAAGGAAAGAGAAGTAGCATGATCATAAAACATGATAAAAATGTGAGATAAAATCATCATTTAAAACAGAAAACATCTGCATATTGCTAATATAATTTGCTGTAAAATAACGCATAATTGGGTTTTGAACCTGGGAGGCAATCGATAATATCGTTAAATTAGTTAAAAACGATAGCGCTGACAATTGATTTTCTCATATCAATTTTTATCGATTGCGCAAGTCAAGTGTAATATGGAAAGTCATCTCTTTATTCAATGATCGGGGAACCGAGAAGCGCCTCTTTATGAAAGAATTAGTTAACTATAAAGACGTTTAGAAAAGGTTTGGGGATCAAGTAGGCTTGCCACAAAACAAAATTTGGTATTGAAGATTTTACTGATCAGGCCTACTAAAGATCCGGCTGACCCTCACTGGTTTGTCGTTGTGGTTGTGCCTTCATACGTGTTTCTTATACCACAAAACGTAATCATGAGTTAATCTTCAAATTTATTCATTTAGACTAAGTACGTTTTAACCAGATTTTTTCCTGGCATCTGTAGGTCATCTGGTTGTCGTTGAACTTTAGTCTTTAATTCACCGAAATTTATTGCATAGAGTAACAACAGAGTGGAAATTTGAGGTATACTTGAACGGATAGAATACAAGATTCCACGATATATTATTGATCATAAAGAATGATAATGGTTAAACGAAGAAAATGGCCAGTACTGGACCAATAAATTAAGGTTTTTGTTGTTTTTTCTTTACAAAGGAAAGTAAACCTGCCAAAGATCGGACAAAGCTGGAGCAGCAGACGAACGAAAACATGGAATTGATTTCGTTATCAGAAAAAAGCATTAATGATGAAGTCCGACAGGATCTGGCGTCGACTCTTCAAGGCCAACTTGTATGGAAGAAATACTTAAATATTTCATTGAATTTATTTTTCTTAAATTTATATATCGTTATCAAAAGAGAGCAAATGATGTCCGACAGGATCTGGCGTCAACTTTTCAAGGCCATCTTGTAGAAAAGAACTACTTAACAACGTCTTTTTTTTAAAAATTTAATTATATTGAACGTGCAAGGCATGCAGACAATGAGGAAACTTGCTGGAAAATAAGCAACAATTTTCCACCAAAGTAACATTCGACATCTCTTTCTTTAATTTATTCTATTGACCGTGCTCCAAAATAAGCTAAAGAAAAAAACTCTATGAATCACTTGCTGAACCATTGACTCCATCCACAATACCACTCACGATCTGTCTGATGTAAAGAATTTTCACTTGTATGTTAATGTAGCTTTATTACTGGCTGCGATGAAAGGTTCTTAGAGAAACACCAAGAAACAACCGCTTTTAGGCATGTTCTCCCTCACAAACGCTTTCATCGAAAGGACAGGAGGATTAATCTGTCTTCCCTTCATGCACAGGAAGGACAGGAAAGCAAAATTTCAACCAAGGCAAAGGAAAAGAAGGCACAAGTGACCATGGAAATGGCTTCATTGCACCAGGATGACGTTACACAGGACATGGCTTCGGCCACTCACGATCTGTCTGATGTAAGAAGGAAGTGTCTAAAGCCACAACCACACGAATACGGATACGGTGAAACCGATTACTTCATATTTGCGTGAACTTAAATTCGGAGTGGTGTATCCGGTTTCACGCTTTCACACGCATACGCTACTGCGGTTTTCAATTGCAATTGCAATCGGACCAGCGGTGTAATTTCACTGGCCGTATATCTTTCCCAGTTCCAGTGCTTTAAGGTAACATTTCATACACTTCTAAAGAGGGCATGTCAAAGAGAAATAACTAGACAAAGGCCGATTCATTCGTCTGGAGCGAAAGTAGACAGAAAGTTGATGGCCTCTACTTTATAATTTTCAAGTTCCCGTTTAAGCCTGGACCCGAGTTTATGACGTAGTTGATTTAAAAATATCCGGTTTCAGTAGTCTTCACGAACGGGCCAAACCCGACGGATCCAAAAAAAAAATTCTACTCTGGAGAGGGGTTTCAATGCGGTCTCGGTGAGTGGATTTACCGTTCTCTTTTCTTGCAGATGGAAGGCCGATTCGTATTAAAAAGTGTGCGGTTTCAAAAATATCCGGATTCGTGTGGACGGAGCCTAAACCTTACACGTTTCCTTTTCTCACGTAACGAAGGGTGTGATGTAACACCCTTCTTCTTTACGTGTGTTGGATAACGTTAAATGTGATCTTTAAGTGGAAAGATAGCGCGTTACAAGCGACCTTGACATAAGAAGTGGAACATTGTGGTTTGCGAACGTTAAAACTTTTTGCCCTTAATTTCTTGTACTGAGGTCTTGTTCTTGTGCCCGTGAAGTTTCATTCTTTTTGCATAGGTACCCCAAGCTCACAAGTGAGAATCATTCATGCGTAACATTAAATGAAGGCTTGCATGTAGTTTCTAGCGGATCACAATTTGGGGTCACAAATAGAAATATCAGCTCAGTAGTCTGTCTAACCTCAGTTGACTCCATGTTTTCATTATTGAGTTATAGGCGAGATTGCGTCACAAAATATTTAAATTTTGCTGGTTTACACATTACGTCATCAAAAACTCAAAGGAAAGAATTATCGATCCTCCTGAGTTCTTAGTTTCATGAATTATTAGAGCAGCTAAAAACTAATATTCAGAAAAAATTTCACTGCGAAAAGGTTCTTCGTTTTGTGATACAGCACGAAAAAATTTCTAAGCTTTTGCGGCATTTACATGGTAGCCCGCGAGCAAGCTCTCCGGGGCGCTCTGGCGGCGGGGCGGGAAAAGGAATGAGAGCTTGCAAATACGTCTCTGGAACTTGAGTTCTACCTCCAATTCGCCTGTGGCTCCTCGTCGACTGAGCTGTCAGATTTTCGCTAATCAGCGCGAAGCGGAAACGAGCGCGATTGTAAACAACAAACACGTGCCAAGGGTAATGGCCTCATTTTAAATGTCATCCCCGCCAATCAGCATTTCGCATCGGCTTATTTATTTTCTAGAGACGTAGCTCCAAGCTCTCCTTCCTTTTCCCGCCCAGCCACCAGAGCGCCCTGGAGAGCTTGCAGGCTATTTACATGGCGGACGAGAGAGCTGCCATGAAGGCTGAAAAGTGGCTCTGTTGGGGGGATTTTGCTTGAATGGTCATTGTATTAATGTCAACGTTAATGAGTTCCTCAAGAGATGAATTCACCCTTAAGTAGAACAACTCTGTGACACATGTTTCTGTTGGTTTCCGGCCGCCATGTTAGTGACCATTCGGATGGGCACCAACATTGCGTCTCCATATAAAGCTCTATAAATGTTGGTAAAAAAATTCTCCGAATATCTCGCGCTTGAAAAATTGCACCGACCTGAATCTTGGCGAGGGCCTTTGTATATTTACCTTCTTTCATTTCCCAGATTCTAGACTTTACCTATTAAACGGTTTTGATTTATTTTTAATAGCATGACGGTGAAAACCAGCAATAGTGTTACATTTTTTCTACATGTAAATGTGAACGCCATTTTCTTTAATCATTTAGCAAAGTCTGGCTGATGAGTATGAAGTTAAGGAGGATCAATATTCTGTACACCAAGACCAAGAAGACATTGCAGTGTGTCCGCAACAAAGCAACAAAGATGCCGTTCTTGAAGTGACTCCATCGACTTCCACCGAAGTAGATGTAAGACGAAAACAAAAACACCATAATTAATTATTCACTAATAAAGAAGAATTTGCCTCTAGGGCGCCTTATTTTGCTTACGTTGCACCTTAGAAGGACACAACGTGATCTTGGTGTTCCTGTGCCACTAATGTGTTTCGTCGATGGTGTACCTTTTCTGCGCTGTCTTGGATTTACGTTTCAGCGTCTTGTTTTCATTCTCTTGAGCTACTTTCAGTTGCGGGCCTGTGACTTCCAGAACGATGGCTGATATAATGAATCGGCCAGTAAAATGGTGTGTTTGTTGTTTTCAATCAGTACCACGTGTATCAGCAGGTGGCCGAGGCTTTCTGGGTAAACATCAAGAGCGTGGATTTTCATCCTAGACTTGAAAACAGTACCCTGGACCCAAAGTAAATTTCATCTAGCTCTAAACTGGTCACTTTGAGGTTACTTTCAATAGATAATACTTGTATATTCCGTGGCTCTTGTCTGGCGTAAGCAAATTATGTTATTTTTATCTTTTTATCCGTTATTTACTTATTTACTAACAAGGGAAGTAATTACTTGAAAACTGTGCTGTTTCAAGCAAAACCAAAAGTTTGACAGTTTTTTTTTTTTATCAATTTAATTAGGATGAGAAATTCAAAGTAACTGACAAAGAACTTCTAACCAGGCCATCGGCATCACTAGAAAAAAATCAAGCTTCTGCAATGCCACTCTTAACTGAAAACCTAGGGGAGTCAGACGAGGATCCTTGTGACGTAGAGGAGAACTTTTCTACCAAACAACTGTTTTCACTTGCCTGGCAGATAGCTAAAGGAATGGTAATTATCTTTGTGTTCTGGATAATGTTGCTGGGATTCTGGTTCTGAGTATAACTTGGAAAGAAGAATTCAAAAGTCAATATTTTGTAAACATGAAATAGATGGGATAGATATATTGGCTGTTTTTCTAGATATGAGTACATTAAAATGGCTTATATGGAAAAAAAATTTTCTTTTCAGTCGACCCAGTTTCGGCTGGATCATATCAGTGCCGATATTTACTTTCATTTGTATTTTTTCATCTATATCTAACTACTTAAGGTTCGGCGTACCCCCGTTATTATGTTTTGAGATCATTTTAATCGTTTTTTCGTTGCTTATTTGTTATTAGAATCATCTCGCCGAAAACAATCTTGTTCACAGAGACCTTGCTGCCCGTAATATTCTTGTTGGCCATGACAACCAGATTAAAGTGTCAGACTTTGGGTTGATGAGACAAATCTATGAAGATGTGAGCAGCTCAGCGAAGTCCAGAAAACTTCCTGTAAAGTGGATGGCCCCAGAATCACTTTATCAAGGCGTTTACACGACCAAAAGTGATGTGTGAGTGATAAGTTTTCCCGCTCCGTTGACAAGGGAACTATTGAAACGTTTCCACTGAATCACTTCTCAAAATTGTATTTGCCTTTAAAATTACAGAAGTATATAACTCTGAAGCGCCTAAATTCTCCTTATTTGTTTGTAACCATGCTAGGGTTGGGTTTTAGCCGTCCAATCAGAAGCAAGGAAAATTGTTTGCCAAATATGGATTCATAGAATTGAAGGCATCCCTGTCTAAATATAGCTAAACACGGATTCTTCCAATCCTTAACTTTTCTCCAATTAATGATAATAATAATAATAATAATAATAATGAATTTATATAGCGCAAATTCCATTCAATGTTCAAATGCGCTTTGCAATAAAATCACACAGTGGGAAACTGGATACAATAACTAATACTACTATAAAAATAATAATAATAAAAAAATAATTTAAAAAAGCGAATGCTTCTACTTATACTAATACTAGTACTGCTATGCTAATGCTACTATGATATTGCGCTGCAGGTTATGACAAAAATGCTAAACGAAAAAGGTGCGTTTTTAGCTTTGATTTAAAAGTGTCCGACGACTTGGAGTCTCTGACTTCAAATGGCAATACATTCCAGAGTTTTGGTGCTGCTCAAGTAAACGACCTCTCACCAAGTGTTGCTTTCGCTTTGAAGCCGGGTTGCTTAAGCAAGAGGGTGTCAGTAGAACGTCTCAGGTTATAGCATGACTGAGGCTTCAGAGATGTTAGTGACTCCAAGTAAGTGGGAGCTGTGCCATGCAAGATCTTGAAAGTTAACAGAAGAATCTTGAATACATTTCTAGAGTGAATCGGTAACCAATGCAACTTAATAAGGAGCGGTGTTATGCGACAATCTACCCTCAGTAAATATCAGTCTGGCACAGGCATTCTGCACACGTTGTAATTTGATCAATGAGCAGTTTGCCAGACCATACAATAAAAACTTTTACATCAGTCACGACGAATTGATATGAAAGCATGAATAAGTGACTCTGCTGACTTCTTGGAGAGATACTTCCGGATCCGACGTAAGTTATTCAAATAGTAGAATGATGAACTGCAAATTTTCGAAATATGTTCCGTCATAGAGAGATTGGCATCTAACCACGAGCCAAGGTTCCTAGCGACAGGCACAGGGTGAATGTTAGTGTTACCTACTCGAATATGAGTGATAACTACCTTTCTCAAGCTTTTCCGGTGTACCTGTTAGAAGAAGTTCAGTTTTTTCGTCATTTAATTTAAGATTGTCATGCAACATCCAAGAACGAATATCAGTAATGCAACTTTCCAGTAACTCTCCAGCATTAAGTTGATCGAGCCTGTCTTTTGGGCAGAATGAGATGTGTGCCTGCGTGTCGTCAGCGTAAAAGTGAACCGTAGGAAAATGATGTTTGATGATCTCGAAGAGTTTGCTCGAATACAAAGTAAATGATAAGGGACCCAAACAGGAACCTTGAGGGACACCACATTGCAACTCGAATTCCGCGGAGAGTGTCTCATTGAAGGCTATTTGCTGAGACCTTCCGGACAGGTAAGACGAAAACCAGGAGAGGACTTTTCCATTTATACCAAATGTGAACTGAAGTTGATGCAGTAAAGTGTCGTGATCGACAGTGCCAAAATCCGCATTTAAGTCGAGGAGAAGAAGCAGAGTGACACGTTGATAGTTCATTTTAAGGAGGATGTCGTTAGTGACTTTGAGAAGTGCTGTTTCTATGCTGTGTTTGGGACGATAAGCTGATTGTAGGACAGGGAAGAGATCATTGCTGAATAAATAATGCTTAATTTGCTTGGCGCCCGCAGTCTCCACAAGTTTTGAGGCAGATGCGAGGTTACTCCCAGGTCTATAGTTCTTAAAGATGGGATCGAGACCCTCCTTCTTTAGCAGTGGTTTAACAAAGCGTGCTTTCAGATAAGAGGAAAATAGCCTGATTCCAGCGAAAGGTTAATTAATTTCGTAATTGGAGGAGGTAATACATCAAGACACTCAGTAAAAAGCTTAGTAGGAATGGGGTCAAGAGAACAAGTCGTCTTTGTAGATGATTTGATTAGTTCATGAACTTCGGTTTCAGAAAGAAGACGAAATTCAGAAAAAGAGGGGCCTTCAAGTGCAAAGTGGGATTCGCTAACATCGGAAGTTACCTTGGCGAGCAATCTCAAGCCGAATGGAGTTAATTTTGTCACGGAAGAACTTGCCAAAATCTTTAGCCATTAATTTATTAAGATCGGAATGTAGAGGGAGACTGGCACACTTCGATAGGTTAAGCAGTGATTTACATGCAGTGAACAGTTTCCTCTGATTGAGACAGTTTTCAACTAAATTTTTCAATTACATCCAAAACTCAAAAGGACACGCATTTTTGGGCTCGTCCACGACAAATAAAAGGAATTAAGAGATAAACAGGGAAATAAACAATCTAAATACCGTGACTCTGTACATATTTATAACCTCTTTGTTTTTTTTTTTCGTAGTTGGTCTTTTGGTGTTGTTCTTTGGGAAATGGCTACCTTGGGTGAGTGGACGGTAATTTTGCAGTTTGTTGTTGTCATGTTAAATTTTCAAAAACCCTAATTGACTGACAAATCCAAAAAAACATTTTCCATGGTCTATGACTCTTATCGACCGTAAAAATGATGTCAAAATGTTGAAAACTCATGTACGACCCGCAGGATATAATGGTTTCACACTGCAAAGTTTTGAGCTTCCAAGGGAATTAAGCTAGGGGACCGTGCCTGAACCCACCTTGCCCCTTTTGGCATGTTGGGATGTAACTTAACTGTTACGATTGTTATCAAGGTTACTGCTACCAGGAAGGGCGAAAGCAATGTTTCATAATGTTTCATTTGCGGCAAGTTTGAATTTTCCTGTTTGATCTGGGCTATGTTTTAATTGATTAAGTGCTGTGAGACGTCTCCTAGTTGATAACCGTATGTGACAACATATATTAAATTTGCGAGCATTTCAGTGATGACTGGAAACGAGAAGCCTTATTGTTAAAGGAGCTGTGTCACGAAATTCAGCAAAATTAGGAAATTACAAAATGCCCGTTAAATTAAGAGAAACATAAAAACAAACGCTCAAAACTTTAAAGGAAGGTTAAAATAACATAACAGAAACAACAGATGCCACGGATGGGCAAAACCTGAAGAAGATTGAAACGAACTGAAATTAGGGTTTTTGAAAACTGTTCAGCCTAACAGTTTTTCAAAGTTGATCCCGGCTGCTTGCAACTTCAAAAATAATGCTCAGGAGACATATTCGTTTGTCTCGGATCACTGATTTTGTCATTTACCTGTAATTTCTTTGCTTACTTTAAGTTCCATAGCGATTTAGGGCGAGTAATTGGCAAAATTAAACAAAATGAACTGGACTGCCGTGACACAGCACCTTTAATCACCCTGCCTTCTATTATTACACATTTAACTGCATTGGGTATATATCAGACCTCTATTCAATCAACCATTTTTGCAAAATGGCCTTATTGAGTTTATATGAGGAGAAGTGACAATCGACTAAGACATCTTTAATAGAAATCTAACTAATGGAAAATTACATGTATTCATTTGCCGATATGTAATCATTTGTTTTCTTTCTCGCAATCGTCAGGAGGCGTACCATACCCCACGCTGACCAACTCAGAGTTGTATCGACTGCTCGGTACTGGTTATCGCATGGAAAGGCCTGACATGTGCTCTGATGACGTGTACGTTTCTTGATTAGAGTGATCTTAGATTTAACAGATTCGATTTTTCTGTGCGTCTGCTCAGTTACATTTCACACCGAACGGTGCAGCATACGAATTCGTCAAATATTTTACTCTGATCATATTAAATACTGACCAGACGGACGGCAAGGGAAGACTTTTGTTAAGATCTTCACTCTTTGAACAAGAAAACCCTCCAAGGTTTATGGTCAATAAAGGCATCATTAGCAGTGATCAGGTTAATCTCTTTCTTGGGGCCGGGGGGAGTATTCCCTGTACTGGGGAGGCACCCCCCCAAAAGGGGTCCTTCTCTCAGTCTTCTGATGTAGGAATTTTGCTAGTCGAAGTGTATGAAAGGGTAGGGAAATCTGTCATTTCGGTCTGTAAAATGACTTAAGAGGACCGGATAAGATTTTTTGGCTGTGAAAAAGTCGAGAAAAAAGAAACTCAATTGAAGCTAAGAAGCCTATATATTCTACTAAAAATTTTTCTTTTATTCCAATAGACCTCTTTCGCTTGAATGTTTTGTTTTCCCAATATTTGTCATGTCTAACGGTCCAATTCCCCTGGGACCTCTTTTGGGAAACCAAAACATAAAACCTATAAAGAGGTCTATTGACACTGTCTAATAATTGACTGGAGCTCTTCTAAGCATTGAATAGTCCTTTTTTTTTTTTCTATTCATAACAGATATGAGCTGATTACTGAATGTTGGAACGAAGACCCTTACATTCGTCCCAGTTTCTACCGTTTGATCGAAAAAATGGAGGTGATAATGGAAAGGGATGCACCATATTTGCATGTAAACAAGCACGATGAAGATCGTCCGTATTACAACGTGCCACCTGAAGCTAGTGATGATTAATATGGAGAAGAAGAAGTATCCCCAATAATCGGACAGTTTAAGACGGAACAAGTATAAACAGCTAAACGCATGTAATGGACTTAGAAACTAAGCCAAGAAAACACTGAAAGAATTAAAACTAACAAAAAAGGAGCTTTAATTATAACAAAAAATGTGTAACAGTAAGGCCATCTAGATCTAATCAGGAGCCCATCATCCAGGAATGTAAACCTCTCTTATGGTATGTTTAGATTTTTACTCGGCTATTTATAGATTAATCTTTCACCAAAAAAGGGAGGCGGGACTCAGTAGGATTTCTAGCAATCAGCGGATGCGATCAAAGAAGTATAAATCGATTAAGGTTTTAACTGAACGACAGGCGTTAAAAGTTAGGCACTATCTGAGAAGATTAACCGCCATGTTGGATTGCACCGAAGTTTATTTTAGATCACAGTGAATTTTTCGTAAAAGATTGGCGTAATGTCTTACCCGACTTACCCAGGTCTTTGACCGACGATAATGGTTGTTCATGCAATGCAAGAGTTTGATATCTGGTTGCTAAAATGCTCGTCATTCAGAACGTTGAAAACGTTTGGGCTGAAATAATAGTTTTATTAAGTACCCACAGATTTGTCATATAATAATCATTTAGTTTCTCTACGGGCTCAAGATTTGAAATTAAAACAAACTTTTTTCATGTTTTTTTAGAAGACAGTTATCGGGTTTAATACCCTTCTTAAAATACAAACCAGCGTTGGCTATAGCCTCCGATGACATATAGTTCTATGACCAAAAAAAACGTACCTTAAAAAAAAAAGAGAGTGAAAGAGAGAGCCTTAAAAAAGGAGAAATATTTTAACGAAAGGGCCTTAAAACATCCTTCTTGGTAATTTAGGATACAAAAAAAAAAAGCTTTGATCATAGCCCCAGCATTTGTACAGTGAAATCTCGCTTAGAAGCCCCCGGGTTTCAGGGCAAGATGGGACAAACGTTTTTCTTCAGTGAGCGTCCTGTGGCTTTAAACTCTTAATAGAGTATAGGGTGACTTAAAGTCAGTATATGCATAAAAAAACCTTGCAATGGTTGGAATGAAGAATTACCTGTCTTCTATATTCACTGGCATTCCTCCACGGACTGCGCACTCCCATGCTCCGGTGGAGTTTCAAAGGATTTCTGACTACAAGTTACCCTGTATTTATTGCTGTCAGTATTGTAAATTATAGAAAGAGGGGTTTAAATAAGAATCTAGGGATTGCATATTTAACTATTGTTTTAATGCTTTGCAAAATCCTTATGAGATATGTATAAACTGGCTGAAATACCTGTAACGCTATCAGTATGATTAAAATAACATTGTTCCGCACTTGATTTGCTTTATACTTTGGCATTTCTCGTTTCAAATTAGTAATCATGTAAATGGTTTGACCAATGAATGACTGCATGAATAAGTCATTAACGTCGCGGTATTCCTTTGATAACTGCCACTTGGGGCTTTTGCGTTGTTGTGTTTTATTTCACTGCATGTTTTCGGTAATTTGGCTAAATGAAAGAAAGAGAGAAAAGAAAATAATTATTTAAAACACGCTAGCCATTACATTATGCGTAAAATATAATATAAAAAGGATAGCACATAGCAGACGCACAAAATGCAGTTGCAAGACTTATTCTCAAGCAAACTAAGTTTTGCCATATAACCCTATAATGCCAGTCTTATCTCAGCTTCACTGGCTGCCCATTAAGTACCGCTTGGAGTTTAAATTTTTTCTTATTAGGGAGCGGTCATTAACTATTGGGGGGGGAGGGTCGGTATTATTTCAAAGGTTAGAGCCCAAAAATGTTAGCCCCTCTCAGGTTAACAGCCCAAAAATCTTGGCCCCCTTTAAAATGTGAGCCCAAAAAATTGTAACCCTCCCCTGTGAAAAACTTTTGATTTTTTTACGAACGTTATTTTGAGACAATTATTTCACTGGAATAAGAAAAAAGTGTTACTATTTTAATACACTATTTACAAAACCCAATGGTTCACCAAGTAAAGGGAACCCGTACATTAAACAGCCCCGTTGTTACTCATTGAATTCCTGTTTTGTAGTCAATTTCAAGAGTGAACAAATTGTGCGTATTTAATAACGGATCAGCGAGAGCTGTCTCTATTCAAGAGAAGTCCGCAGCTCTTGCTCGACCCCTCCAGGTCCTGCAAGTTCGGCCATATCGTGTGGTGTGCAAAAGATTTTCAAAGTTATTTTCCTGCTGGACCGATTCGTCTTCCTCCTGGTCCTCATCAGAATCCTCACTGATGTCATCATCGCTATCATCCTCTCCGATTTCGTCCAAGACACCATCATCATTGCCATCATCAATGTCATCATCAACATCATCGTCACAATCGCTGTCATCGAGATTTTCGCTACCTTGGCTGGATCCCAAATCCCCGGAATGACATGAGCAGATTTTATAACGAAGTGTACGAATCATTTTATTTGGAACGGGTTGGCTATTTTGGTGGAAACAAGAAGGCCTTTAAGAAAGCATTCCATGAAGAAGCGAGAAGGGAATACGACAATGAGAAGGCGGTAAAAAAAATTAGAGAGCAATTAGCGCAACTGAAATCTGTAAAGGATCCTTCTAAGGCTGGATTTCTTCTAAGAGAAAACCACATTCTCAAGCCGCATGATTCAACGACCATAACGCAGAACATGTTACACATAAAGAGGGTCGAAACTTCAATCGAAACTTTACAAAAAAAAAACCTAAAGGAACACTTAGAAAGAACAATCCATTCATCAGGTAGAGTTTTAACAGGACATAAAACTGCACATGACTTTGATGAGCAAAAGCTAACCGAATTGCAGGGTTTTAGAAATGAATTACACACTTTAATAACTAGTCTAAGTCAGCTCCAAGAAACCTGCAAAGCAGCATTTAAGCACCCCTTTTCTGCAATGAAAAGAAAAATCAAGAAAAAGGAAACAAAATACCCAAAAGAGTGTGAAGCGGAAAAAGGCGAGGCATGTGGCCAGGACGACTGAGGTCCTCAAGAAGATTGCGCCTGATTGGTCGGAGGGTAAGATTTGTGAGAAGGAGGATTTGTGCGGAGACATCGTAAAAGAACTTGGAAAAAGAGAGCAGAAATGGGCGGTAGCTTTGATGTTTGATCAGTGCGAACTTTTGAATGACAGCGCGAAATCAGAGCTTAGAACAATGTTAGGGTTTTCTGAAAGTGAGAGTAGCTCTAATGCAAGTGACGGCGATGAAAGTAGCGACCAAGACAGCCTAAGTAGCATCAATGACAGCAAAGACAGTGAAAGAAATAGCGATGACGGGGCCGATGATAGTGATGTAACTGAACAATGTCAGGAGGAGGATTCGGGAAGTGTCTTTACTGCAGTGGAAGCATACGACAGCAGCAGTGCAGAAGACATTGGCCCCTACTGGAACACAATGGAATGCACTCCTTACTATGAGCCCATTGAGTAGTCGTTTATACATCTTCACTGGACATTGGCAATATGTTTGATACCGTTACTGTTTAAGACTGATTGAGTTTTATAGCATACCAGAATTTGTTGATTTTTAAAATAACAATAAATCAAGTGATGTTTATAAAATTGTTCTGGGTGTGAGCTTTTTCACTGTGCAATTAAGCTTTGAGTATACGATTCTATGAAGATTCTCTTGCCATGCTAAAGTCAATAGCACAAAACCCATTTGTGCACATCGCCCAAAGTTTTAATAAAAGGCGCCCAGAAATTGTAACCCTCCCCTATAAAACGTGGGCCCATAAAATTATGGCCCACCCCAAATGGGCGCCCAAAAAAACACAGCCCTCCCCCAAAATTTACCAGCCCTCCCCCCCCAATAGTTAATGACCGCTCCCTTACTTCAAAAGCTATTCACGGCATGGCCCCTGATTATATCTGCAGATTGATCAGCCGGACAACATCAACCAGATATTCCCTTAGATCCAGCGAAAAATTATGCTAGAGGTTCCTATGCTAGGGGCAGCCCCGAAGCTCTGGAACATTCTTCCCAGTAAAATATCCAGTGTTTCTCTTTCAACTTTTAAATGCCAGTGTTAAAACATATCTTTTTAGAGAAGCTTTTAATTTGTAGTAGAGTATTTATTTTGTTTATTTTATTATTTATTTTATTATCATTATTTTTTAGATCTTTTACCTGTTAGTAATTTTTTATTCATTTTTATTCTTTTAAACTTACTGTTAAGCGCAGTAGAGTAATAGGGTATTAATAATTCGTTTATTATTATTATCATTATTATTGTTATTATTATTATTATTATTATTACATTTATTATCATTTAGTCTTTTTCTCCGCTTGTACATTTTATTCATTTTTGTTCTGTTTGGCTTAATGTAAAGCACATTAAGGAAAATTGCACACTGATAAGTTTCAATTAATTGTACAGTCAAACCTCTCGGTACGGACACCTCTCTATTACGGACAGTTTCCAATGTTCCGAGAAAATTTTCCTATATTTTCTTTAAAAAAAAACCTCTATAATACGGACAACGGACAGTAAATCTCGGCCCCAGAGAGTAAATTCATATACACTTAGCCTCTTTATTACGGACACTACGGTGATCAGCTGAATCCCGATCAGGTGAATCTGCACAGGGTGAATCTCGTCTAGTCTGGCTGATGAGCTATGCGAGGTGCGAGTTTAAAGCCCAGTCGCCGGTATACCAAACAATGATTTTCGTACGGTGTACAGAGGAACATAATCGACGTTTTGAAGGCTTCGATAACTACGGATAGTACTAAGATCTTTTCTATTACATTTTAAACTCTCGTTAGTATTTACTGCACTTGCAAAATAGCGAAAGACGCTTTCAGAATTGTGCTTTACGTTACAACTTTTTGCATGCAGCATTGCCTTGTAGCTCGTTTCGTTTTAAAACAGTAATTGGTCTGTAGCTGAGATGTACAATGTTGTATGCTACTGGAAGACAGAGTCTTTGTACTTAATAACTTAAAATACAGTATAATTGGCTTCGGGGGTCGCCGAAATCGGAGCTTGAAGAACTGTGACCAAAGAAATTTCGCGAAAAATTGTGTTACCTCCGATTGCTCCCAAATTTGGCATACAGGAAGTTAATAGAATTAGCTAATCACCTGCCTAGTTCCAGCCCCTGTGGACTGTTGACCATCACCCACCGAGCTTTCTTAAAGTTTGAATTTTATGGCGAATGAAAGCTTGCATCGACGAATGTCAACCAAATACAAGTCAAGCAAACTATTCTGAAGGATTTTGGAGGATAACAAGCGAAATAAACCCGAAAATTGAGGTAAGGAAATACTTAGAATCTGTGCATGCAAATCGCCGATCGTCGAACTCTGTGCCACATGTTCTTGAAACGGCGACGATTTCCTTCCCGTTTTGCCTTCGCTTCGCTTTTTCCGTCAAATTCTTGCTTATTTTGATGAATTCTATCAGAAAATTCATGTCTGCTTGTCTTTAACTCGATATTTTTTGGGGAATCGAGGAAAAAAGCGTCTTAGTGAAGTAAACATGTGGTCACAAAGTGACGCCAAGGGATTACGCTAATTATGATAATCTAATCAGCATAATTATGACAGCGTGCAGAAAAAAAATTGTAGAAAATTTCTAGTCGCTCCATATTTTAGAACGATTTTCGGGTTTCTTTGCTTAGATATTGATGAAAAAAATTTCTTACTACCGTACCACCCAAAATAAAGAAGTTTCCTAGCTAAATGACATTCTTTGAAAAAATTCTTATGCAAAAGATGTTTTTAATTTTTTTTGTGGCGGAATATTATGGGTTTCCTGTGACCGAAATATTGTTTTTTCGAAAGGGTATTCTTTTCCCTTTCCAATGAGGTATAGCTTGATATTGAAATGTAAATAACACCAGAGATATGATTTTTTAAAGTTACATGGCAAAATACATTAAAATAATTTGCTGAAGACAATGAGTTTTAATTAATTAAATTAAAGACGAGTGTAAGCCTGGTTTTAGCTACTGAACACTTAAAACTGAAAGTGGAGTCATAAAAGTGATGTCAGCATAGTCATGCAAATTTAGGCCCGTTTTCAAGACGAATAGATTCCATAATAGTTTTGTTACATCCAACGCCCTCAAAACTTAAACTGTTTTCCCGATATATAGCTTTAGAAGTTTCGATTGCTTTTTATCAAGTCGATTTCGTTTTTTTATTTTTTTTTAACAAAATAATCACAATTTTACTGTTACAGTTGTTGTGATGTTGGAAACTGCCAATATATCTGCTTTTTCTCAGCGCTGGGGTTTTAATAATTTCGTTTGGATATTGCAAGAAAGAGTCATCGTCGCTTTTTTTCATCGCCTTCATCGCAGTCGTTTAAGAAATTTACACTTCTGTGGCTTGTGACTCTGGCGATATGTGAGCGTACAATGTTTGCTGTCTGTTGTTTTTCTTGCACTATGATTCGTGAACTTTTTTCTCACTTTAAACTTCAAGGCTAGTATCATTTACAGATTCTTTTCATTATCGGTTACTTGCGGTTACTTATGGTATTTTCGCCCTTTGGTTTAGTTTGAACCAGATGTTTGTCATCAAGTTTTCGGTTTCATTTGATACTGATCAGGTAGAAAGAACTACGGCACCATCTCTACCCTTTTTTACCTGTTGTTTGTGGCAACAATTGAGCGGTGAATCCGCGATCGTGACGAGTGGGAGAAAAAAAACCCTCTGGTCTCGGCAGTTACGAACCTCACTTCCACGAGTACAGATTTTGAACTTGGTCGCTGATTGGTGTTCGAATTTAGTCTGAGACCTTTCCGAGTGATAATGATAACAAGAGCTCTCATTGGCGAATCTCTGGAATGCTCCTGGGAGCCCTAAAAACCGGTTTTTGCTCGAAGAAACTTCAAACAAAGAAAAAGGTGGACGATGGTAGCGAATTCTAGCGAGCCTTTTGTGGTGCAGTACAATTTGCGTTGGATAGTGGTTTTTCCAATATTCTTTCAAGAGTTGAAACCTGTCCAGGAAGAAGCCTCGCTCCACTTCATCAAGTGAAAAGATGTGTTTGCAGTGCTTCCAGCTGGATGCGGGAATTCTCTGATCTTTCAAATCGTTCCGAGGGTATACATGTGCATATTTGCACGATCGAGAGTTCAACTATCCTAAAGCAGCCGTCTTAGTTGTTGTTTGCCCGTTGACCGCCTTGATTGATGCACACATAATGCGTCAGTCAATTCCACCTGCGCCCAGCCTCCCCCCCCTGGGCTGACCCCCGGGCATTAGCATTTTTTTTGCCTTGGATGGCAAATTCCCGGGGGTGGGGACTCTTGAGCTGTCAAATTCCCCAGGGTGGGGACGAAAAAAGAGGGCAAATGCCCCGTCCTCTGTCAACACTGCAACATTTTTCATTGATTGCACAGTCAAATAGTGCTGTTTTAAGCATTTTAATGTGCGATTTTTTGGTTTAATTAACGTCTTCCTTTGTAATAGCGCGAGGATTCTAATTAAGACTTCACGCCGCGACGACATGCACCAGTTTAGGGTTTTAGTATTGGTATAAAATTATTGACATTAAAATTAATAGAGCGCTGTAAAGTTATATGTTATGAATAGTTTTATAAATATGAAAGGATGTTCTTCAAATAATATCAACAGAAATTTGATTCAATGACCAAAAAACGTTGATTCACATCGATAGCTCCAATTTCGCTATGTAAGCAATGAAGAAATGTATACATACATGTAAAATTGAGAACATGCCGTTACAACCCTCTACAATTTATTCCTGTCCTTTACAAATGAGCCAATCTGCTTGTCTTCCAGTAAAACCTTCCTTGTAGTTATATTCTGATAGGAAACCGCGTGCGTGTCAAAAGCTCGGGATTGGCCCAGGGGTTGGCAAATGCCCGGC